AAAAAAAAAAAAAAGATTTTCTTTTTAAGTAACCTCTATGCCCACGTGGGTCTCAAACTCCCAACCCCGAGATCAAGAGTCACATGCTCTACCTCCTGAGCCAGTCAGGCACCCTGGGAGAAAGTTAATTTTTCAAAAATGTGACAATCTTTTGGCTAAATCATTGCTGAGTGTCTGGGAGGCCGTCATTTCCCCAATTTGGAGAAGATGGCTGGGAGCCTTAGTTTGCAAGGGCCCTCAGCGTCCCTGCCCTGGGCCCTCTCTTTGGGGTTCTGCATCGCAACAGGCAGAAGCAAACATTTCCTGAGGGGGCTGAAGGCATTTTACACTCATTGTGCCAGAATCTTGCCAGGACCTCCCATGAAGTGGGCTTTATGAGCCCCACTTACAGATGGGACTATTGCAGCTGAGGGAGGTCAGGTAACTTGTCCATGAATGCACAGCTAGACTAGAACTCGGGCTGTCTCTCAAGGCTGGAATTCCCTGTCTCCAACTAGATGTGAGGCTGGGTTCCCTTCTTGGGCCTTTCCCCAGTTTAGGGTTGGCCATGAGTCTCAGGGCAAAGCCAACAGTTGCCCAGGCCTGCCCTGATCCCAGGGCCCAGGCCATACCTTCCTTCCTCATCCGGCTCAGCCTCAAGGCCTGGCTCAGCGAGGGACACTTGAGCTTAAGACCAAATGAGGCACCTCCCAGGCCCCCTCTTGCCTCCCAAGCCTCCCAGCCTGGGTGGGGCAACAGGGTGCTGGATACCCTTAGTGTGCCCTCCAGATCTCCTTTCACCCAGCTCTGTGCCCCCAAGGTTGCCCTCCACTGGCTGCAGTGACTGAGCTCTAGGGTCCTCTGGTTGCTGCTGGTGTTTGGATGAAGGGAGGCAGGAGACTGAGGGAGGGAGCAGAGCGAGGTCCGAGGTCCGAGGAGTTTATTCCCTGGGCTTGTTGCCTTTCTGCTCAACCATAGCCGAGTTCTCTTTTTTTTTTAAATTTTTTTTTTCAACGTTTTTTATTTATT